TCCCACTTTATCAACAGACAAAAGAAAAATGGGGGGGGGGATCCACACATAATACCACCACCATCACCAAATCCAAAATAAACAAGAATTAACAATCAATGGCCATTAATATCCCTCAATATTAATGGTCTTAATTTGACCATAAAAAGACACAGGCTAACAGAGCATGGGGGGAGGGGAGAGGGAGTAAGGGAGAAGAGGAGGGCCAAGGTGGACATGAGGGAGCAGGAAGATTGAGTCAGGGATAGAATAGAGGAGAGCAAGAAAAGAGACACCATAATAGAGGGAGCCATTATAGGTTTTAAGAGAAAACTGGCACTACGGAAATGTCCAGAGATTTAAAAGAATGACCCCAACTAACAATCTAAGCAATAGTGGAGAGGCTACCTTAAATACCCTTCTCAGATAATGAGATTGGTGACTACCTTATATGCCACCTAGAGCCTTTGTCTAGTAGCTGATGGAAACAGAAGCAGACACCCACAGCTAAATACTGAGCTGAACTCTTGGAATCCATTGTAGACGGAGGAATGATCAGCAAAGGGATCAAGACCAGGCTGGAGAAATCCACAGAAACTGCTGACCTGAACTAGGGGAGCTCATGACCTCCAGTCTGATAGCTGGGAAACCAGCCTAGGACTGACCCAGATTCCCTGAATGTGGCGTTAGTTGTGAGGACTGGGCAGTCTATGGGGCCTCTGGTAGTGGATCAGTATTTATCCCTAGTACATGAATGGATTTTTGGAGCCCTTTCCACATAGAGGGATACTCCCTTAGCCTAGATACATGGGGGAAGGCCTGGGCCCTGCTCCAAATGATATGACAGACTTTGAAGACTCCCCATGGAAGGCCTCACCCTCTCTGGGGAGCAGAAAGGGGATGGGATGGGCGTTGGTGGGGGAAAAGGTCAGGAGGTGTGGGAACTGAGGTTGATAATGTAAAACAAGTTTGTTTCAAATTTAAATAAAAAAGTTATATAAAAAATTGCTGAAGGCAACAGCTTTTGTAACAAGTATAGTGGGATTTAAAAGCTGGCTCTATGATCTGAATTTCTACGGCACTGTCTTATAAGGAAAAAACTCACTATATGCTAATTTTGGAATTCCTACCATATTTTAAATAAATAAGCTGTAAACATTTTCAACACCCTCATTCACTTAACTATAACTGTTACTTATTGTGCTGGACGGTTTTATGTTAACTTGACTCAAAGCTAAAGTCACCTGAGAGCAGGGAACCTCAATTAAGAAAGTTCCTCCATAAGATCAGGCTATAGCCAAACCCGTAGGGCATTTTCTTAATTAGTGATAACAAGGGAGGCCCTGGCCCATCCTGGGTGAGGCCATCACTGGGCATGAGGTTCTGTGTTCTCTAAGAAACCAGGCTGACTTTGTTATGGTTGGATATTTCCCTACTATCCCTGATCTCTTCAATACTTGTATTATGAAGAGGTGCTGGATTTCTGAAAGGCCTTTTCAGTATCTAATGAGATGATCATGAAATTTTCTTTCTTTCTTTTTTTTTTTTTCTTTCACTTTGTTTACATGGTAGATTACATTGGCAGATATGTCGAACCTTCCTTGCATCTCTGGGATGAAACCTACTTGATTATGGTAGATGATCCTTTTGATGCCCATTCTTGGATTCATTTGTGACTATTTTTTGAGTATTTTTGCATCAATGTTCATAAGGGATATTGGTCTGTCATTCTCTTTCTTTGCTGCATCTGTGTGTGGATACACTGAACCTGATACAAGAAAAAGTAGGGGATAGTCTTGAATGCATTGCCACAGGAGACAGCTTCCTGAACAGAACACCAATAGTGCAGGCAGCAAGACCAACACTTAATAAATGGGACCTCATGAAACTGAAAAGCTTCGGTAAAGGACACCATTAATAGGACAAAATGGCCACAGAATTTGAAAAAGTTTTCACCAACCCCACATCTGATAGAGGACAAGTATCCAAAATCTATGAAGAACTCAAGAAACTAGGCATCAATAAGCCAAATAATTAAGAAATAGGGTAGAGATCTAAACAGAATTCTCAACAGAGGAATCTCCAATGGCTGAGAAACAGTTTTAAGGAAAGTTTCAACATCCTTAGCCATCACAGAAATTTAAATCAAAATAACTCTGAGATACCATCTTATACCTGTCAGAATGGCTAAGACCAAAAATATAAGTAACAGCTCATGTTGGAGAGGATGTGGAGAAAGGAGCACTCTCCCATTGCTGATGGTAGTACAAACTTGTACAACCACTTTGGAAATCAATACTGTGGTTTCTCAGACAATTGAAACTTATCTATCTCAAGACCTAGGTACAGTACTCCTGGGAATATACCCAAAGTATGTTCCACCATACTACAAGGACACTTGCTAACTATGTTCATAGAAGTTCTATTCATAGTAGCCAGAAACTAGAAACACCCTAGATGTCCCTCAACCAAAGAATGAATAAAGAAAATGTGGTACATTTACACAATGGAGTATTACTCAGCTATTAAAAACAACGATGTAAGGAAATTTTCAGGCAAATGGATGGAACTAGAAAAAAATCATCTGAGTGAAAGATTTCAGATCCAGAAAGACAAGCATGATATGTACTCATTTATAAGTGGTTATTGGCTATAAAATAAAAGATAATCATGCTATAATCCACAGATCCAGAGAGGCTAAGTAACAAGGAGGGCCTAAGGGGGAAAGGAAGATCTCCCCTGGGAAGGGAAAATAGAAGAGATTTTTGCAGGTGGACTGGGGGTTGGGAACTGCAGGTTAGCAGGGTTGGGAACAGGAGGGATTAGGCGTGGGGAGAGAGGGAGAAAACATTGAATGAATGAGTGAGTATTCTGAAAGGGGGTATATTGGGGGTGAGGTAGAAACCTAGTACAATGGAAACTCTATGGAATCTATGAGAGTGACCCAATCAAAGAAAGACTCCTAGTAATGGGAGGAACAGACTGAAGCGGCCATCTTCTGTAACCAGGAAAAGCCTCAAGTAGAGGGATTGGAATACTGATCCAGACACAAAACCTTCAACCTACAGCCCGTCCTGCCTGCAGAGTGTTCTGGGACCACAGCCTAGCAGAATCCGCATCAAAGAGACCAGAGAGACTTCATCCAGAAACTGATGAGAGCAGATGCAGAATCCATAGCCAAACATTATGTAGAGGTCCTGGAGTCCTGGGGAGGAGGGAGAAGAAGGATCGGAGGAACCAGAGGGGTCAGGGACACCATGAAACCATGACCCACAGAATCAACTGACTGGGAGCTTGCTGAGATCAGGGAACCTGTAGGATCTGATTTAGGCCCTCTGCATATATGTCATGGCTGAGTAGCTTGGTGTTCTTGTGGGATTCCTAACAGTGGGACTTGGGGTGTTTGACTCTTTTGCCTGCTCGTGGGACCCTTTTCCTCCTACTGGGTCATCTTGTCCACCCTTGATGTAATGGTATGTGCCTGGTCTTATTGTGGCTTGTTATGTCCTGTTTGGTTGATGTCCCTGGGAGGCCTACTCTGTTCTGAGGGGAGATGGAATGGAGGTAGACCTAGGGAGAAGGGGAGGAGAGGGAGAGACTTGTGGGGGTGGAGAGGGAGGGGAACCTGTACTTGGAATATAATATATGAGAGAACAACAGCTGAATAAGCAAGCCATGATCAGCAAGCTAGTAAGCAGCACCCTCTAGGGCCTCTGCATTAGCTCCTGCCTCCAGCTTCCTGTCCTTTTTGAGTTCCAGTCCTGACATCCTTCAATGATGGACTACAATTCATAAGTGTAAGTCAAATAAACCCTTTCCTCCCCAACTTGTGTTTTTGCATTAGGGTTTCATCAAAGCAATAGTAACCCAAACTAAGACCCACATATAGTCATTGATTTACTTATTTCTAAGTACATTTAAATTTTTGAATTACTTTTAATTTATTTGCATATGTACAAGTATAGGTGGGTATGGCATGCTGTATGTGAGGAACTCAGATCAATTTGTGGGAACTGGTATTTCCTTCCACCATGTAGGACCTCAATGACCCAACTAAGGTGGTTAGTTGGACCAGTGAGGCAAGTCATCTCACTGGTCCATTTCTTTTTTTTGAATTTTTATTTCTATGTATCTTATAGTCAGATTCTACTCAGTTGAGTGTGTAGTTATAAAGAAAAGTAGTTTTTGTTTATTTTTTAATTTACTTAACCTTTATTTTATGTGCATTGGGATGAAGATATCAGATCCCCTGGAACTAGAGTTACAGACAGTTGTGAGCTGCCATGTGGTGTTAGAGATATAGCAGGCAAAGGGGATGCATTCCCAGTAAGCCAAGACCACGTGGGAATACTTAGATTAACAGAAAAATGTGTTAATAGTTAAGTCAGAGCTAGCCAATAAGAAACCATAGCCAATGGCCAACAGTTTCACAGTTTATACAGTTTCTCTATGTGTTATTTGGGGCTGATGCGGCTATGGGAGCAGGCTAGTGGCAAAGTGCTGGTAACAATGTGGGTGCTGAGAATTGAACCCAGGTCCTCTGGAAGAACAGTCAGTGCTCTTAACTGCTGAGCCATCTCTCCAGCCCCACAAAGTAGTTTTTATAATTAACAAAAGTTTAAAGAGTACATTCTAGGATCAGAGTCAATTGGGGGACAGTTTATAATTTTCAAAAAAAAAAAAAAAAAGGTTTAGATAACTCTCAAACCTTCAGAACAAATTTCCTTTAAAGTCTTCAGGTGAAGACTCAGGGACCCTAGGAAGATGGGAGGAACCCAAGGAAAATAGCATTGTAAGTTAGCTGTGGTAACTCAACATGACTTCTTTGGTTGACCTGCCTTGGCGATACTTCCTTTCCTCAGACCATCCTCTAGCGAGTTCTCATGAGAACTTCCCAGGACATCTAGACTCTGGGTAAGCTGAGAGCATATTAGCTGCTGATGGAGCTGTGGGGGTGTCCCTTTCTCCTTTCTGAAATGACTCCCATTGCCCCTTTTAATGAGTACTTATCTGGTTCATACTTAAACTTTTTTCCTGATTTGGCTTGAGTGCCTCCATTCCACATATGGTCAGTCTCTTCATAGAAGAAAAAAATGTCAAGTTTTACATCATCTTTTCCCTGGAAGGATAGTTCCAAGCTGTCTTCTACCTATAAGGAAAATGAAAACCTTCATAGACAGAAACAACAGGAATACATTTTCGTATTTTAAATAAAGAAAAAGGTTTTATGTAGTAAGCCTGTATGCATGTTTTTAAACTTAAATCCCTGTGAAAGTGGGATACTATATTAGCTTTTCTTAAATACATATAAAATAATGTTTCTTAAACTGATGACAATTCATGAGTAAATGCCTCATGATAACTTGCCTGAAGGGAAAATTGAAGTACCATATTGAAGTACCGCATTCCAGAGCCCCCTTCTAACTAAAGGAGGAAAAAAAAAAGGGAACTTATCCTAAAAGTAACGTTCACATGGGACTTAGTGCATGTGACTTCAACAGCATCACATAGTAATTTATGTGACCCTCAAGGGGACGAGCACTAACGTATCCATCTGTATGTTCCACTGCAAAGCACAATGCCAGACAACAACATTTGGCAAGTATCTACTGAATGACTAAACCTTCTGCTTTGATCTCAGAAAATATTAAACTTTAAAAAAAAATAAATTAGAATGATTACTTCTGATGGAAAAAGTAATTTTTCAGGAATGAATACTTTAGACTTGCTTTTCAGGATACTACTTTCCTGGGAACAAATTAAGAGAAGGATTATCACAAAGGATCATGGGCTTTTGGAAGAGCAATCCAAATGTCCAGAGTTCATCTCAGCCACAGTGCCTTGCCCATGTTAGTCTCTAAGGAAGTTACTCACCTTAGCCTAGGTGAGCCAAACTCAAGAATTTGTTAAACATGGCTCCATATTCCTTAGCAATCAATGGGATATCTGTGTTGATTTTTATGACATCTAATATTAAGCGAGCATTTAATTAGATGACTCAGAAAAAAAAAATGAAACTTCAAGCAGAGCAGGAGGGATTCTATCTTTCTATTAACTTTATACCGTGGCATGATAGAATGGCAATACATTTACTTACAGAAGCCCAAGATCCTTCTTTCATCATTATTAATAAATATAAGGTCATATTTTTGAGCTTTTCCTTAAGTAGTATAGAAATGTTAAGGGATAATAAGCCAAATGTGGTAAGTGCTCAGTGATAAAAATTATGTTTGCCACACCTTTAATTATGTATAAGTTAGTTAAGGTAAACTTTACAACTGAGACATGTTATTTATGAAATTAAGTTGATTGTCACCAACCTTCCCAAACTTGTGTTTGAGTGGAAGTCCTGCATTCTGAAATGCCAAAATAATATCAGGTTTGTAATCTTGTATAAAAATTCCTAGGTCGACATCTTTGCTATAAGGAATGATACTGCACTGTCGATACCATCCTACAAGGTGGGGGGGGGGATAAAAAAATTTAGATTATCATTTCGTAAGGTTAAGGCTGGGGTGATTTATCAAAGTTATTTTTTAAAAGTTAAACCCCAAACTCAACAACTTGGTTATATTAGTGACTTTGAAGAATCAATCTCCCTCCTCTTTTCCCCCTACCCCTGTTCCCCTGGGCTGAGTGCTCAGCTCCCTCAAGAGCTTTAAGGAAGTCAGTCATGGTGGCTGACACCTTTAGGCTAACCTGATTGTTCTACATAGTTAGTTTCAGAACAGCCAGGGCTACACAGTGAGATCCTATGTTTAAAAAAAAAAAAGTTTTCATGATACATAATAATTTCTGAATAGATCATTAGCTTTAACAATATGTTAATTGGGCCATCTACTTAAACAATTGCTGTTCAGAGTGTTTAATCATTAATGTTTAATGATTGAGACTGCTTTAAGATGTGCTAAGAATATTTAATTCTCTTAATATGCTTTCCTGAGTCTATAATCTATAGCACTTAACAGCTCCCACAACTCATACCTGATGGGCCACATAATGGTCTGGTTAAGATGTGATAATCAGTTTACACCAATGCCATTTCTCAGTGTTTCCCATGTTATCTACGTCTTGCTTAGGTGTCTCAACAACGCCCTAAGAAAGCTTACTCTCTAACCTTACTAGTAAGTCCCGAGTCCTCCCCGCCAGCTTCCCTGCCCTGTATCCTTCCATGCTTTTACTGTTTTGTTGTTGAGACAGGGTCTCTTGAATTCCAGACTGGCTTTGAATTTGCTATGAATTTGAATTTGAATTATGGCCTTGAACTTCTGAGCCTCCTGCCTCTCCCTCCTATATTAGATTAAAGATGTGTGCCTCACCCCGTCTAAGCATGTCATCTTTCATACAGCCCAGTATATAGGATGGCCACCAATCCCAGGCTACACCTGTTGCCCCTGCATAATTATTTAAGGCACTTTCTTTCAGTCACACAGTGTCCTAAGTTGGAAAATAAAATCTATTGTAACTTTTTAAAAGCTGAACTGAAATTAACTTTTGTTTAAATACAGCCACAATAAAACAAACAAACAAACCACCAGATACAATTATAATCAACTATAGAAATAATTAAGAAGGAACAGAAAAAAGCCCAACAATTTTAAGGATCTACATAATTCTAAAGGCCAAGAAGCTGATATAATGAATGGCGTATCAAGAAACCTTTACCAGATTCTAACAGCCACTGCTTAAAACTACAAAAAGTATCTTTCCCCACCTCAGGCGAACAGTGATGTCTAACCAGTGATAATCTCAATGACCTGGAAAAGTCATAGAGGACCTTAAAGCATGCCTGCCAAGCTTCCTCTCATTAAAAGTGTTTCCTGAAAATTTTAGTTTAAAGCAATAATAACCTTTGAGAGAGAAGTAGTAAAAGGCTAATTTAAGTATTAACTGAAAATCAACCATAATCTACATGTCTGATGTAAATCTGTACCCATTATAATTTCTAGTAAATACAAGTGGCTTTATGATTCTATTTTATAGGACTGGAGACATGGCTCAGATGTTAATAGCACTGGCTGCTCTTCCAGAGGTCCTAGTTCAGTTCCCAGTAGCCACATGGTGGCTCACAACCATTTATAATGGGATCTGATGCCCTCTTCTGGCCTGCAGCTGTAATGACATGCAAATAGAGCACTCATGCACATAAAATACAAATAAATGTCTTAAAAAGATTCTATCTTATATTTCATCAATTATTTTTAAAGGAGTCAATATATCTTTGCTTCATATATTAATGTTTATTCTGCTTACAAATATTACACTTCCAATATTACTGATGCCTGGTCACTTCAAACACTCACTCCTAAAGCCAAAAGGATGGGATAGAGATAAGTGTAAAGCATTTTTACCTAGACAAGTTCCACTGCTCAACCAGAAGGGCACCCCCAGTTCCTTTAATGTTTTCGCTGCTAGCTGCAGTAATTCCTTTGCCCTCTTCCGAAAGGCCATGGCGTCCACAGTATTATCGTCAAGGTACTGCTGCAAGTTTAATAAACAGTTACCTACTATAACAATCCCTAAACTGCTAGGAACATTGCTATGATATCTGAATTGAACTTGGAAATTAACACTATCTTTTTTCTGTTGTACAAAATTCAAAGTGAGGGGGCTTGGGTGGCTCAGTAGGGTCAAGTGCTTGATATACAATTCTCAATATCCAAATAAAAGTTTGGAGTGTTGATGTGGGTCTGTGACCCCTGTGGTGTCAGGGTGGGAGAGGACAGAGACAAAGAGATCCAGGAGATCCTTGGCCAGACAGTGTAGTGAACCCATCAGTTCCAGGTTAAGTGAGAGACCCTGTCTCAAAAAATAAGGTGAAGCTGTTTTAGGCTGCTGCTAACTTGCCCAAGCCCTGGTGCAGGGCCCCACACCCATAAGCACATAAGAAGCACTAATTGGATTTGTGGGTTATAAAACATGAGAAGACATGAAAATGACAAAGGGGTGTATTGGGCAGGAGTACAGGGTACCTGACAGTGGATATAATGAAGGTGTAATAAAGGAAGACACCTAGTTCCAACCTCTGTTCTCACAGACATAAGTGCACAAATGTGCCCACATATCTACACACAAGTACACATGCGTATACCCCACAAACCCAGAAATCAAAGTTTATAGTTACTTCTTAGTCACACATTAAAATAATTTAACTAGATTCTAGGAGAAGCCAGTTTAAGAGGAAGACATATAAGTCACTAGGATTCCCCAATGATGAGACTATAAGTGTTATCAGTTTCCTCTGTACATCAGAATTTAGCAGGCTGGGCAGTTGGAAGAAAAACAAGAGCTAATTTCAGAACTAGAAGCACCATTTAAACAAAATAGATTAAATGATGTTTTAGATGCACACTTATTTACTTGTCTTTAGAGATTGGGTAATTAAGCAGAAAGACACATTTTGAGTTAGACCATCTGAGTTGGACTCTAGATCCATTTCCTTTCGGATGGGTAAATCATTTTACAAGAGTGTAAACTCTAAGAGGAGAGTATTGAATCAAATACCCCAGTGTCTAGAACAATATCTCTACATCTGACAAATGAACAAAAGAATGGAAGAAACAAATTTCACTGTAATTAATGTCCTCATTTATAACTTACAGATAATAACCATGCTTTATAGAACTACTTTACAGATCAGAATGAAAGCCCTTTTGTAAAGTATAAGGATTTGTACTGCTATCTTTTACTTAGTCATTTTACTTTTCTGATTTACTACATTTTATTCTGAAGCACAAGAAAACAACATGAAGTCTGTTAGTATTCAGGCATTTGTACTGGCCTGTCCTTGGGGTTCTGACAGGATATACCCTCAGCTGCAGCCACTGAGAGCAGTACCTGTGCACATTCACCATGATCCCTACTAATCGGGCCCTGCCCACCTTCCATCCTTCTCTCTCTCTCTCTCTCTCTCTCTCTCTCTCTCTCCCCCTCTCTCTCCATTCCACTTCCTTTCCCTGCCCCTCTTTCTTCTCTCCTGCTGCTCCTGTCCCTGGAGGCCAGTCTCCCCCTTCCCCTTTCCCCTTTCTGTGACTCTTTCCCCCTAATTAAAAAAAACAAAAACCCTCTGTTTGAACCCTGTCAATGGTCTCTCTCTCTCTGTTTTTCTTAAATTACAATGTCTTCAATGGTATTTCACTATGAAACAAAATATAAACTTGGCCTAGTGGCCTAGGAAAACAGGGACACAGGTCTTTGGCTACTGGTCTAGCCTCATCACTAGCCTCTTTTTACATGTAATGCTACAGTAATAAAATGTACCTTCTCCAATATGCTACAATCTTTCTAGCCTGTTCGACCTTATATGCCATTTTCTTCTTCAGTATGCCTTTGAGTAACAAAACCATGTTTCAGCTCCAAGCTATGAGAAATATCCTGATTTCCCTGAAAACACAGATGAGTGTGTTTCTGTTCAACATTTGCTAATACAAAAAGCCAAGCAAAACAATTCCTCCCTGAACTTATAACAGTTACCACTTACACAGATTTTCAAAATCTTTAATTTTTTCACTATTTTATGTATATGGGTATTTTGCGTATAAACATGTCTGTGTACTATGTACATGCCTGGTAGCCCTGGCAGAAAGAAGAGGACATCAGATCTTGGGAATGGAGTTATAGATGACTGTAAACTACCACGTGGGTGTGGGGAATCAAACCTAGGTTCTCTGAAGAGCAGCCAGTGCTCTTACCACTGACCAATCTCTCCAGCTTTTTTCTATTTAGTTGTAACGGTTGGTTTTGTTTCAGTTTCCCCAGTGAGGCTGTAACCAAGTGAGAGCAGGTGCCACATTTCTCCCTCACTAATCTACAGCTGTGGAATGCCACCTGGTACATAGTAGATAAGCAACAGATACTATTGTGTGGCTAAATGAAGAAACGACTAATTCTGACAGTATCCTAGAATATCATGTGATTTCTTTTCTTTTACAATAAAGCAGGAGAGAATATAGTTCATAGAGATATGTCCCTGGAACTATAAGGAATAGCATCGCTATGTGGTTCTTGAGGGGAGTGTCCTATGAAAGAAAGTTCCCTGCAGGAAAGCTGTTTCTATGGATTAAACAAACTATACAGGATAGCCTTTCCTCAGTCATTACTTTTAGAACATAATGAGAGGTACATATTCTTATGCCTGTAAGAGAGAATGCCTAGCTAAACATTTAGAGACCTAGCTAACACTTAGATGAAATGCTAAGCCAGTCATGACCGTCAATGTCAAAAGACATCTTAAAGCTACAACTTTCCTCTCTGTTAAAGAATACTTGTCTTATGGGAAATCTCCCTTCAAGCTGTTGGTCAGAGGAGTCCAAGAAACTCGGAGAACAATGTTAAGTTATCATCTTTGGTTGTGTTCCAGAATATGAAGGTAAGACCTTACTGCTGAAGACACTATACTATTAGACACAGCACTTGGACTCAAGCTAGAAATGAACAACTGATCATGGAGTGTCCAAGTTAATACATCTACAACACAATCTTCATATCTAAGACTCAGGATGTCTACTATGAGATAATATCCTCTATAGATAACAGGGATGTGTACTTACAAATCTTAGCAATATGGTCACCTAAACAAGAACTGTACAATGACAGCACCAGCTGACATTACAGTGTGGATGCGGGAAATTCCAGGCCTCAACCTCTAGATCAAAAGTTTACAAGCAATTAATGGCTGCTAAGAGAGACACAATCCATTTTCTCTAGTAATGGGGCCCCTGATAACTTATCCAATGTTGTTTGGTTGGATTGTACAACTTGATTGAGCTGCAGATAATGATTTGAATTTATAGATCTCAATAAATAGATTTAGAAGTACATATATACAGACACATGCATAATGTCCTTGTTAAGTGAGAGGGCCTGTGACTTAGAGAAATGGCTGAACCTAGGGTGGGACAGGAAAATCACAAGGGGAACTTAGAAAATCTATGTTTTGTTAAAAATGAAGACGATGGAGATGAGACAGAAGACACATGAGCTGTGGTGAATATTCTTCTACCAGCCAAATAAGCAACAATCTGAGGATTAAAATAAATGATGAAAGGGTCTACAACTCATTAAAACAGAAAACCATGAGTTTCTTATTTAAATAATGTGATGAAAAATGTTAATATTTAAATAGTTGCAAAGTAACTTGCAAACAAATACTTCTAATTACAAAGGGAAAAATGCAAAGTCACAAAAGCATTTAGACTTCAACTGAGTGGATGATGTGAACATCAAAAGTGCTCTGTAGCCCCACCAGAGGGACAAGGGAGGCCATAGGACTCAGGAAGGAAATGATACTTAAAAGTCACAGGAAATTCCCAAAGCTGCAAGATTCACAGGCTTCACCCCAAGGTTATAAAGGTTTCAACAATTTCTAGGGTGGTGAGACTCCTGGGAAGCTGTTAAGGAGCTCTATGGTATGCAGCTTTTCTGAGTGTTACTTACACAGGGGTGAGTTTCTTGGTGATGCTTAAAATTGGTCTTGCTATATGTCTTAGCAGGCCTTGAGCTTTTGACAACCCTCTTGCCTCTTGTAATGTGGAAATTACAGGCGTGTGCTACCACACACAGTAAATTGACATTAAAAGCAATGTATGTTAATTCTTGATTTTTGAATTCAGATATAGAGAATATTCTAGTTTTTAGAAAATACTAAGTTATTGGAGGCTTCAGGACACTGGTTTATAGCTTACTCTCAAATGCACCAGAAAACAAACAAAAAAGAACCCCTCCCCCCAAAAAAACCCCAAAATCCAAAATATGTGTCATTTGTATTGTACTTGCAGCTGTTATGTAAGTCTGATACTGCTTTTAAAAATCACTATTAAAATAAACCAGAAAGCTAGGGGGCTACTTTACAAGTTGCTTTTATTTTTCTTAAATTGTATTAATTCATCGATGTAACCATACTGTGCATTTCATTTCATTTCATACTGTTTGGCGCCATCAAGTGTTCAAATGGGTGTAAGTTAATTTTAATTTACCCTCCTGGTATTTTACTTATCTTGGTTCTAACATAACAAAGAATGAAACATATAAGATGATAAAGATTAAAAAAACATTACCAAGCCTTTTAGAAATTCCATATCAGTAATATCAACACATGACAGGAGGGGAAACATAATTAGGCATCACAAATGGCATGGCAGCAATTGACTATCGTGAATAAAATATGGTGCCTGTTATCATGTTTACAGAATTCGGAGATAAAAGATGCAGTGCACTGTGGTAACTGCTATGGCAGAGATGCGCAGTGCCCTCAGGGCAAGAAGCACCAAGCTCTATCACTCTATCGCCCATGATCTCAGTAGACTCGACAGCTCTATAATAATAAAATCAAAAACAGGCCAGGAAGGGCAAGAAGGACCACTTGGGCTGCCAGGCCTCCTTGGTCTTAGGTATCAGCATACAGTATCTGAGAAACTTGGTATTTGAGTCTTGGATACTGGGCAGAAAAAAAAAATGACAGTTTCTCATTCTGTTTGCACTAATTTGCTTTCTATTGCTGTGATAACACTATGATCAAAAAACAACTTGGGGGAGAAAAGGGCTTAATTCCTCTTACAACTCCTACTCATAATCCATCCCTGAGGGAAGTCAGGGAAGGAACTCAAGGAACTCAAGGTAAGAACTGAATCAGAGTTGGGCAGTGGCAGCACAAGCCTTTAATCCTGGCACTTGAGGTAGGAGGGTCGATGAGTTCAAGGCCAGCCTGATCTACACAGTGAGTTCCAAGACAGCCAGTGCTACACAAAAAAACCCTGTCTTGAAAAACAAAAAAACCAAAACAAAGCAAAAAAGACACCCCCCCCAAAAAAAAAGAAAGAACTGGAGCAGAGACCATGCAGGAATGCCACGTACTGGCTTGCTCAGCTGTAAGTCTCATACAATCCAGAATCATTTGCACATTTGCACAGGTGTGGCCCTGCCCTCAGCAGGCTGGACCCTCTCACATCAATCACTGATGAAGAAAATGCCCCCATAGACTTTCCTACAGACCAGTCTTTGGCCAGGGAACCCCAGAAAACGTAAGGCAAGTAGAAGAATTAGGGAACCAAATCCCACAGTCAAACTGTTTTCACTGTATCTCTGGTTTCATACAATTGTTACAGTTGGAAGTTTAGACACATCAAAACCATTTGTGTATCACTATAGTCAAAAGCCAAAGGGGTAGAACAGCATAGAGAAAAAGCTGAAATTCAGCTTGTTTAACATCTTGCTAAATATACTCACATACTCATATTCAGTCCAAATGTCTGACAAAAATCCCTACTTTCATTACACCTTTCTAAATCCACATGGTGGATTTAGTGGCTATATTCTAAGTCAACTTGGACTTCTTAAAAAAAAAAAAAAGCCCTTTTAAAATAAAGCTGTGAGCTATAGTAACTGTGGGATGAAGCCAGTGTTAATTCTATGAGAGTCTAATAAAACAAAGCAATAAACATATGCCCATTCTCCATTCAGGCAAGAAAAAAAGTGTGTGTGTGCATGATGCCCAGGGATGCTTTTTTAATTGAGATCCTCTGTCTTAGCTGGCTGGGTGCTGGGGTTATAGACTTGCTATAACAGTCAGTAGAATTTATGTTTTCCTAGTTGAGACAGGGTCTTGTTGGCCCAGGCTGCCTCTGACCTCGCTATGTAGCGGAACATCACATCACCTTCAACCCTCTGCCCCTATCTTCCTTCCAAGTGCTGGGATTGCAGGCACCTGCTACCACGCCTGATCTATGTGGTGGTAGGAAGCAAACTGAGGCCCTGCGCGTGTCTAAAGTGGGATGGATCTCTGTAAGTCTGGCACCCACAACACTCAACCAATTATGCTACAGCCCTTGGGTGGGGGGAATTAAGTTTTTAGCTTTGAATGAAAAGAAAATAAGTAGGATGAAAAATGATCAACTCAGGAGGCAGAGGCAAGTGGATCTCTGTGAGTTCCAGGCAAGCCTGGTCTACAAGAGCTAGTTCCAGGACAGGCTCCAAAGCTACACAGAGAAACCCTGTCACACACACACACACACACACACAAAGAAAGAAAAAAAGATCAACTTAAGACATTTTAACCTATTTTGTATAAGCTATCTTCACTTCCTCTTAATAAAATAACTGAGGCATAATATTCTCATTAATTTAACTTAGAAGTATATTATCTGGTTGTCTCTAACCTGAAGGAATGCCCGAGCTTCTTTATACCTGCACTCGATAAATCTGGAGTGTGGTATTTCTTCTAGAAAGTGTCCTGGGTCTTTTGGAATAAGTACGTCTAGTCCATCAATAGTAACTTGCTGTAACTCTGGCCTGAAAATAAAAGTTAAGTTTTACTATCAAGATTTAATCCAGAAAAAAAGGCAGCCTTTTAAAATAGTAAACATTATTGAAGGAGCTAAATATCAAGTGAATTTTCTTCAAATACTTGAGGCATCAATCAGCAACTTTTATTGGGACCTTGAAAATCTGATATCCAATAACAACACAGAGTTTTGGTTTTAAGTATTTTCATTAATGCAGCTAAATTTGGGGGTGAGGAGGGAATGTACTATGGATTGAAGCTAGGGCCTTCTGCATGCTGCCACTAAGCTACACCCCATCCCTTTCCTTTTTTTTTGCTTCAGCCTCCTATATAGCTGGGAATGTAGGCCTATGCAGGCCTGTGCTGTTAGGCCTGGCTAAGTGCATCTAAAATAGTTTTACAGACACTTTGACATTTTAAGCAGAAATGGAAGTTAAATGACATCTTTTTCAGTTATCAAGTTGGTTTCAGAGAGGTAAATAGTTCTTATACTTCAGAAATACTGAGTAATCACAGTAACGTGGGAGCCTCACTAACTGGAAAGATAACTGGAACCCACCTTCTATGAATATTCTTGAGAACTTTCTATTCCTCTATGTAAAACTATAAAATATACAGATGACTTTATCTATTAGCATACATACTTACAACATATTTCTTAGTTGGTGATTTTAAATTTAACTAAATTATTAACTATAAACTTCGATATAGACTTTTAAAACCTTAAAGAACTAATTGACTTCCAAAAAAAGAAAAACCTGTTTTAATACAAAATAAGAAAAAAGTTCATAAACGTGAATAGTGGCTAAGATTTTGACAAAAATAAAGGATGCAACAATGAAACAAACTGTTTCATACAACCCACTAATCACTTTTGGTCATTTATATTCCTGGCTTCTCCAGTTATGAACAACCTTTCAGCTGTTTCTCAAATGCTGCATGACATTAAACAAGTAATAAGAAAACAAAAATAAACAAGAGCTTACAGTTCTAAAGCATGACAGTAAGCAGGATTTCTCTGAAAGTGGTCTCACAAGGTTACTGATATGAAAAATTTTATAAGAATGATAAACTTTAAGGCAAAGGACAGCATTCACTGATCTATTTACATCAAGTTCCAGTATTTCAGACAGATTATGACATCATTATTAATGACTCCCGAGGACTCTGGGTTAGTAAGCTGACATTCATAGTCCAGGTTCACATGAGTCTCCTCAAGTGCCTGTTCCTTGTCACCAGTGTTTACTATTGTGATAGTTATGGATAGACTCCTACACAGAGTATCACTTTTATTCCTATGATTTGTTTTAGTTTCCTGAGGCAGGGTTTTATGACTACTGCCAGGCTGGCCTGCAACTTGTTAGTTAGGCCAGCTTGCAACTCTCCTGCTTCTGCTTCCTGAGTGCTAGGATTTACAGGTGTGAGTCATTATCTCAGGACATAGGGAAAATAAAATCACACACACACACACACACACACACACACACACACACACACACACACGCATGTAAGACATAAAGGCACAAAACAATGAGTTACAAGGATTTGTATTTTCATCTCCATCACAGACACTGAATCTTGTCAGCTTCCAGGAGGTCTCTGTGTACCCCACTCACTAACTCCCTATCTACCCTTCCCTATCCAGGGATACAGTCTATCTTGTTTGGGGGGTGGGTAACTTTTCCTAACTAACATTAGTACCTTTATTCTATTTTAACTATAACCATGAACACAGTATACCTGTACACTATTATTCTTTTCTTCCTTATTTCAGACACTCAGCATTGCAGGACCTACCCAGCAGAATTACAGCAGGTGTCCATGAGGTATAATACTTCAATGTATGAGCATATGTACATACATATAAATATAAACACATAATATTATGGGTTTATTATTGTTTATTTTATAGACTTACCTGTCAAAAGCTCCAGCATAACGACCATACTGTAACTTTCGAAAAGGAACAAACTTTCTGTCCATGTGCCCCTTGAGTCGTAGGTGACCATGCCAGAGGTAGTTGCCGCTTCTCTCATGAAAGACCACCAAGTGGATGGCATGAGTGGCCAGCTTACAGACATAGTGCAGTGGGATTTCAGTTCCAGAAAGTGAGTCTATTCCATCTAGCCGAGGATCTTTGCTTTCAATCTTTAAGCACTGAAATCCCATATTCTCAGCTATCCGAAACCAGCCATCCTAGCATAAGACAAAGATCAAGCCTCAATATTAAAAATCAAATACTAGTAATAAAACTAAAACAATTGTTACACCATGAGTTAAGTCATATTTTTGTCTTAATTTGATTTTTTTTCCAGAACATTTTAAAAAATGAGAGTGGTAAACAGAAGGTAATACTGAAAGAATAAAGTGGCAAAAAAGGGTATGGAGAATGGATAATATGTCTAAGGTCTCTAAAAATTAACATAAATCTCACCCATAGGTTAAGAATGTTCATTTAGTGTCCTCTCATCAGTTATTATGAAGTAAATGTTAGTAGTAGAAACAGAAAAGCAAACTTAACAATTCTTATCTCTTACCACTTTAAAAATGCTATAACAAAACCCCTACCACAATGCAAGCATCAGGAAACAGATTGCAACATACTGTAAGACAATGGATGCTTTCAAAATCATTAGAACTTAAGTCTCATTTATCAAGATTATCCTATATGTAGAATTTACATGATTAAATATTATTATGAGTATCTACTGTCCTAATAGACATGTCTACATTACAACTCAAGCATCTATGGTTCAGGGAACATTGCAGAAGAGGGTCCAAAAGATGGTAAGAGCCAGAATACCAGAAGCCTGCTGGAAAAGTCTCTCCTTGAAATGGCTGATGCAATTGTTCCAATTAAAAAACATTAAAAAAAAAAAAAAAAAAAAAAAAAAAAAAAGAGGGGGGTATTTGCTGGTACAGTGGCCTATGCACTGCAGAAAGCCTGTAAATTTGAGGCCAAATTCAACTACAGTGAACTCCTGAGTCTTAAAAACTCTTGTATTTCACCAGGAATTTATAATCTCCAAACAACTTTTACTTATATTCTTATATATACATTTTAATATGACGATCACCCTATAAAAGTGGCAAAAGTATTACAGATAAGGAAACACTTAAAGTCAACTTTCCAAACATAGTTAATAATATACAAAGCCACTTAGTGTGTGCAAAGTGCAAGCAAGCACATTGGTACCTCCTTTACTACCCACAGAGACTATGTACGGCCAGCAAGGAAGGTGTTACTTACATCTAACCTATAGTCATGGAACATAAAACTTTAAGAAAGTGTGTCTCACTGGCCACAGAATTCAGGAACAAATACTGAGAATCAAACCCAGACTGTGAGGCTTGGTTGGTGGCAAGCAAGCTCACCTGCTGCGCCATCTCACCAATCCGTAGTCCACCTTTTGTTTCTTGCATGACTCTGGTCATATGTATTAGTCTTGCCAACTGTGCATATCCCTTTCTTCTAAAGTAGCAAGGGCACTGTGCTCAAAAGACACTTTGTAAATGTGAAGGAATATGTCTTACCATAACAATAAACTGGTATTTAGAGGCCGAGGCCAGAATTGGTGTTGTGAGTGACTATCCTGAGCCAAGCAATCACCATCTTGGGAAATCCAGCTGTGCCCTCTTGCAAAATGTCATCCCAGTGGGGCCTGCTGACTGCTTACAGCCCTTGTGGAGAGATAAGGAGGGTCTCAAGATCCACACCAGCAGCTCCAACACTTACTGTATGTAACTCTGCCTCAACTGCACCAGGTGACACCTCCGGAGAGGAGTACAAAGGCCAGGGAAAACTAGGGGAAGAAAGCTCCACATATGTGACTATAGGGAAGACCACTGTTAGGAAAAAGCTTTCCAAGTGAGGTCACTTATTTTAAAACCATAAAGCAAGATTGAAATTTAAGTTCAAGGGGCTGGAGAGATGGCTCAGTGGTTAAGAAATTTAAGTTCAAGTTTGTGGACATATCTAAAAAAATACTTCATATGAGTAGCAAACTAATACTGTGTGCATACAAATAGAAGCATGGTGCTCTGAACAAAATCCTACATTGAGGCCCTCTGAGCTTCCCTACACTAATGGAGATATTGAACACTCATGTTGACCTCTTCAAGGTCAATGATTATAGTCAAGACAGTGATATAGGAACAACAATTTACTAGAAACTTCTTAGAAAATTTGTCCTTCAAAAGATACATGTCCCATTCCTTCCTCTCATTCTTCCAGCATGAACATAGATGTGCTGTTCCTATGGCACCAAGAGAGCTATGCTGGGATGATGATGGAAATGGACCAAGAACTTCGGCCCTGGTATCTGTGGGAAGGCAAACTAGCATTAATAGTCACCATTATTTCAGCCTTACTTGCTCTAGGCTTGATATTCACTTATTTAGAGCTGAAAATATTCCCAATACAACTTACACGAAGGACCTGAGAAGTCCTGCATTTTAAGTGGTGGAGCCATCCATCTCCATCATCTGAAGCGGCTGACTCACCTCATTCTTCCACAGGTGATACTGCAATGCAAATGCAGTAAAGTCTCTCGGAGCACACAAAAATCTGCAGTCTGAAGCTGAGCCTTGAGAAGCATTTTTCACTTGCTCAAAGTTTTTATTAACCAACTCCAGAATCCAAGGGTCAATAAGGAACACTGGCACATTTTGGCTGGATGTCAGCATAATAAATTTCTTAACTGCACGCTGTTTGAGAGGAAAAAAAAAAATCTCGTTGAAACCACAAAGCCAATAGAATTTCTTCCCTAGTACTGGGAAACTGAATCCAAGAAGTCACATATGCTAGGAAAGTGCTGTCACTTATCTCCCTCTCCAGTCCCTTTTGGATTTTTCATTTTGAGAGAGGATTTTATTAAGCCACCCAGGTTAGCCTTAGACTCACTATGAAAGGCTTTGACCTTGCATTCCTCTTGCCAAACCAAGACTCCCTAGTAGGTGTGATTAAAAGGCCTGGGCCACTAGGCCTAGCTCATCACAACTCAGTTTGTTAAATTTTTGTTTATTTAATTTTCTAAGAACTTAAGAGAGTGTCTACCCAATAGACACCATGCTTATCACTGCACTAGGGATAAACGAATGAGTAACAGCTATGGTTCTGTCCTCAAGAAGTGCATAGTCTACTGAGAAAGATAACAAGTCACTATAGTTCAAAGTAAAATATGCTACAACAAAATGTAAACAACCTAGTGCAAAAGGAGGAAGCCAAAAATGGCCAGATGTGGTGATAAATGCCTGTAAATTCAGCACTCCAGAGGTAGAGATTGGAGACTACCACAACGTTTGAGGCAAGTCAGGGTATGTATAGAAAGTTCCAGGCCAACCAGGGATATACCAGTGAGACCCTGTCTCAAAATAACAACATAAACAAAACAAAACCACGTAGAAAAAAAAAAAAATCAAAGTACTCACAAGGACTAGCTTCTCATTTCCCACAACATAGGCTATCATGTATCATGGCTGTAATTTCTTTTTTATTACTGAGCCAGTTCTATCTTTAAACTTTTAAAACAGTTGTTGACACAGGGTCTCAAATAGGCAGGCTGGCCTTGAACAGTGTCTGTAGCTGAGGATGACCTCGAGTTCCTGGTCCCTTGCTTCCTCCCATGTCTGGAGGTTGAATCCAGGGCCCTCCACATGCTACGTAAACACTACCAACTGAGCTACATCTCAGCTTTGCCTTCTCAGCCTTGTTTTTCACTTTTAATTAGGTAGATAAAAGGCAAGAATGTGTATTTTTAAAATATGGAGGTTCTGAAACTTTACAAGACAAAAAAATCTAATGTTATATTACATCATCTGTTCTTCTCACCTTACAAAGGAAGCTCTGATTATTACTGATTATTAATTTCCCTTTATATTCATAGCTCAATTCTGGTTCATATTTGGGGAAGTGTTATAGTTCAGTGAACAAGAATTCTAGAAATGGAAAGCTAAATTCTGGATTTAGATGTTTACTAACCAACTAACCTTAATCTCCCTGACTAGTTAAACTGAGAGCAACGTTCATATTGACTTTTTAGGGTTTCTATAAGGACAAAATGAGGTATTCCATGTAAAGCACTGGGTATAGAGTCTATACATGTCCAAGGTTGTTACTGTCATTGCTATCAATGAATGAACTAAAGACAACACAAACATTGTAATTGAGATATCTTGTCTATAGTACATACCCACTGTGTACTATCAAATCCAATCCGGTTTCCCTTAGATTTTGATGAACCAGTTCCATTCTGGAAGGGAGCAAAAGAATATTTTGGTAAATTCATAGCCAAACACACAATATCCAAAGGCTTATTTCATATTCCGAAGCAAAACATCATATAATTTTCAATATAATAACTCAAGATGTAAAACACTGACAGAATACAGTAAGTTACTAAAATTATTCAGTGGCATGGCCAGCATTTCTGAACCAATTAATGCCCATCAAATAGCATCTGCATCCACACTCTTATGTCTACCTGTCTCCCTTCCCAACCCTCCTTTTTCCTCCCCCCCCTCCACTCCTCCCTCTGTCCTGCCCTGGTCTCTCCAAGCTCAAACAAGTTTGATAATTCCTTGTGCTGTCAATACTTTTCTAGCTATAAAGTATAAATAACTGAGGATGCTGACGGCAATTAGAATCACCTCATCCTACAAACACAATGTGTTCAACATCTGTAAAAAGAAGGCTAGTCTTCTCATTAAACGGCATACTCAAGGACAGGTGACAATGTTGAGCTGTCTTCATCTTATTATGTCTGGCCTAGTGCTTGGTTAAATAAATGGTAGTTTTGTTAATTGGAGGTGAAAAAGGAGGAAGAATAATTGGGATAGAGCCAAACTCGTCTCTCAAAAGATCTGTAAATTAGACAATAACAGTTTAATATGGACAGAGGTAACTTTGTAATCTTCAGTCCTGACAATGGAGACTGCAGACAGTAATTTGGTTTTCATTATAGCCCTATATTAGGAGAGGAGGCTGAATTTTTAAGCTGCTGAATTGGCTGAATTTGGAAGAAGTACATTTCTAGAGATCTAGTAGATTGTTTTATAGTAGCCTTATTGGAATTAAGATCATATATCATAAATTCTACACTTTCAAAGTGTACAGATAAGTTAACTGTATGTATGTTGGAACAGAGTCTAAAAATGGAGTCATGAGAGAGGAATTCTGAGTGCTTGTGAGAATATTACAAGAAGACCTCACTTTCTTCAAAACACAGAATTGTTCTTGGAATGTGTTTTCCTGCTCATCCCAAGTGTAGCAGATAGGATCAAATTCACTTCAGCTTGTTATTCATGTGCCTCTATGGGAAAAGATGTTTTGCCATGTATGACTTGTCCTTGAGATTATACACTTTCCTGAGGTGATTGTACAACTTATACACTCAGAGTATAAATTGTCCGATGCTCTGAATAAAGTTGGCTATTGAATGAGAGTTTAGTCTGCCTCATTTTTAGGCTTGCTCTCCCAGGTTCCCACCTCCAACTAAAGCAGTAAACACATAGTTAGTAGTGTTACTATTACCTCTACCTAGAACATTCCACCATGTCAAAACTACATTCTCCCCGGTTTTCTTCCTCTGTGCCACCATTATGAGCAACACTGTCACAAATATCATGTCTTGTAAGCCATGTCCTATACAGTCTATTTTGCTTGCTTAGCAAAATATCCCAACCAAACCAAACCAAACAAACAAACAAAACCTACAAACAGTTCACATTCACAGCTGGGCATGGTGGAACACACTTAAAATACCAGTATATGGAAGGCTGAGGCCAGAAGATTATTAGTGCGCTCTAGGCCAACCTGAACTATACAGAGAGACTCTTCATCAAAAAACAAAACAAAAGTCTTTTCTCATTTCTCACTCCTCTACAGCCACATTCTTATCCAATTGTTCCAGAAACTTTCTACCTCAAGATTTCTGTACCATATTTCCTTTGGTTTCTACACAGGACTCTCCTCCTATGGACATCTACATAATTCATCCTGTTAGAATAGACTTTTCTGACTTATAATGACCTCCTACATTCTTCGTGTTCATCTGGAAAACTCCTACTTTGCCCATAAGACAAACTTAAAATATCATGCTGCCCCCCAAAAGTATCCAGTAATCCAGCCTCCCAAGTATGTTATCTTCATTTCTTTTTTCCTGAGAACTTAGCTTGAAGAGTCAAGGATAACAACACTGAAACATCTAGTATTATAAGGCTTAAAGATCACACAACTTCATCGCCTCTTATAAGAAAAGGAATGCAAAGGTACATTTTGCAAATGTTAGGAAAGCATGTAGTTTTGTAAATATACCTATTTACCTATATAATTAAGTGTCCTAGCATTTAAATTTCATTATCTGAATAGTTGCTCTATCTTTGGGAACAGCTACTGGTACCCAGTGGCTACAATTATAAATGAATAAGAAGAATGCAGTCACTGCCAGCCAATGACCATACAAATAGAGAACCAAGAAAATAAATAACCTGACCTCTTAGTCTTCCTAGTCTCCAATATCCAGCTGATGCTTCCCATTGGTTGAACCCAACTGGAAACCAAAGGGCAAGGGAGCTCAGCTAATGCAGTCCACAGAGGCCAGCCTCCCAAGACATAGAGAATAGTGAAGAGAGATCTGGAGAGGCAAACAGAGAATATCCTGCATACTATGCTATAGAGATTAGGTTGATTCTATAGGTATGCTATGCAAATAATTTGATCAGATCTCTAATTATAAAAGAATTTGTGTACAGTAATAAGGATTAGAGTCTAAACAGTAGGGGACAGAGAATTCTTAAGTAGTAGAGTATTCAGAATGGAGTTTGAAGAAATAAATACTAAATTATCTGTTTATCTGTTTCCTTTTATGTCTCTTAATCTTTAATTCTAAAGCTCCTCACATTGTGAGTTTCTAGAAACTTGGGACTGAATTTCATTTATCATTAAGCTGCCTATTGCTTAAATAGTTTAAAAAAAAAAAACAAGTCAAGGGATTTTTAAAAAGCCTAAAGATATTTCAAAATATTTCCTACTGGATAGTTGTATGAAAACTTGATGGCCATAAATAAGTGGACAGGCAGAACCAGATCCTAAAAGGGACTGGCAGAAAAATAATGGTGGCTTTTAAACTCCACTAACTCAATTATGACAATCATTTAAATAACAGGATTTCCAAAAACAAGATTTCAAGATTAAAAAAAAAAAATCTTATCCTTTCTGATGCTAGTATTCAATAATCAAGTTCTTACAGGAACCCCAAATCCAAATTCTTAATTTAATTTGTACAACTATTTAAACATGCCAATAGCGTCAAATGGTTAATTCTTTGTTAAAAACAATGTAAGGCCTTCAATATCAGATTTTTCTCCAATTGTTTATAAACCTGCACACCTAAAGCTGAGAGACCCTAACTGTGGTCTCTGAGTACTGTCCTCTTCTGCATCTCGGGGCTGTTTCTTAAAGTAGAAATGCCACTCTCAAGTCCTCCATGGACTGAACTCCTAAATGTTACAAGCCAGCAAGAGGAAGAAAGCTATGTGTATTAATAAGCCATCTGGTTTGAAAACCTATGGTCTACAGCCTGGAAATATATGAGAGAATAAAAATAACATGCTTTCACTGTAATAAAAGAAATTCACATTTTTTTTCCTAGACAATGGAAAAACAAAGATGTGGGAGAATAAGGAAGGCGATGTTTATCAAAATTTGCCATATTACACCAGATGTTAAAAATATACTTTCCCTCCAGGCATAGCCAATATGTTTTCTTTCAGAGCAAAACAAAGCAAGCCCAAAGTCAAAAACCAAGTGAAAATCTACACAATTTTACCAAGGGACCAACTTAAAACTACTCCATTGCTGCTTATAGCTACATGGCTATAAGGTTAATTCCCATTCCTAATGATGGCACGTGAATTTGTTCCCTGTGAATAACTGCTGCCATTCTTCTTTCAAATCCCTCCCTCTCAAGGAAAACAAATTACTGAACATAATGGGAAGCCAGCCCGGAATAACATCCTGTGAGTGGCCTTCTAGGTACTAAGAACAACCAATTGTTGAAGGCTTTGTCTTTTACTTAGCCATCAACCCCCATATTTTTAATTGTCCTACAGCGTTCTGAAAGCCATTTCATCTCATATCTTCCCATCTGAACATGTTCTGTTTAGATAGAGTTTTACTTATCCATAAGTATTAGATCCTGAACATATTGATCATGAGCAAGAAATACTCAGTCAAGATCCCAGTTAACTTATTCATAAAACAGTGAGACATAGCTCACAGGGACTCTACAATAATTTACTTCAACCTTATTTTTATTTATTTGTTTGTTTGTTTATTAAGGGGTGGGAGAAGGTGTGCCACGGTGCAAGTGTGGAGGTCAGATGATAACTTTCAGGAGTCAGTTCTCTCCTTATATAATGTGGGTTCCAGGAAATGAACTTGGATTGCCCAGCTTGGAGGCAAGTGACCTTACCAGTGAGCCATCTCACTAGCCTCTCAACTTTATTTTTAAAACGAAAATGTAAACCTTTGGTAGGAAACACAAGCTACTAGAAGCTATCTTCTTTAAGCACAGACATGTAGAAAACACTAAGTGAGACGCATCATATCAACTAGACTAGCTGAGCTAGTAGCTACATTGGCAACATTGCTAAGAGTCCCAATCAAAGAAATCAAAGGTCAAAGAAGTGACACTGAAGGCCAGATGACTGAACTAAGACTTCAACTCAGAACCCATATTCAAGAATTATTACTACTGCCAGGCAGTGGTGGAGCATGTCTTTAATCCTAACACTTATGAAGCAGAGGCAGGAGGATCTCTGAGTTCGAGAACAGCTTAGTATACAGGACGGCCAGGGCTACACAGAGAAACCCCTCCCCCCCAAAAAAAAATCACTACTACTACTACAACTATCAAATTGAGAGTAAGACCTTTGCTCTCCTAATCTCAGTTTGGCTGCTATATACCCTGTCTTAACAAGTAATCAGTAAACACAAATTAGACAAGCACACTGAATTAACACCACATTAACCTATTAGGTGTAATAAGAAGAAAATACCTAGAGACACGTCTTTTCCTTTTCAGTGTAAACTGTAAGTCGTTATGAATGGATCCCAACTTATGATGGGTAGACTCACAATATTTTCAGTTTACAATGATGTGAAAGTATTATATACTGCATAGAGCTGACACCTTTTCCTGAGGAAGTGACAGGCTATTCAATACTCACGGTGCTGTGGAGCTACCAGTCACAAGACGATGAAGGTACTCATATCTCACTGCATACTATGTCAAGCTATGATGTTCAGCAGGTGAAGCATATTATTTTTTACTTATAATATTTTTATCCTAGAATGAGTTTAGTTGAAGAATATCTGCACTTGGAAATTAGACTTCATAAAATGCTCACACAGCTATCATTCTACTAGAGTTTGTATTTCAGGATATGAGGGGATCCCACTGCGGTATCTGTTATCCCTGATTGTTAGGGTTAATTTGGCTGTCCAGGCAGGTGTCCCCTTTTTCCCTTACTGCTCCATGTTTTTTTCCCCTTGAAGCTGAGCATTCAGTCAGCCAAAAAGGACAATCTATGCCTCCAAAGGAAGACTGCTCTTGGGTCAGGGATATACGAGAAGCTGTGTTCCCTGATGGAACGTCCAGTTTGTTTGCATTTCTTTTCCTTTCTTTTTTGCTTTTTGTTTTTTGTTTGTTTGTTTGTTTTGTTTTGTTTTGTTTTCGAGACAGGGTTTCTCTGTATTGTTTTTGAGCCTGTCCTGGCACTCACTCTGTAGACCAGGCTGGCCTCGAACTCACAGAGATCCGCTTGCCTCTGCCTCCCGAGTGCTGGGATTAAAGGCGCACATTTCAACAACCTGAACGACTGTCCTGGATCTGAAAAGTCAAGTCTATCCCTCTATGAAATATAGTATATTTTGTTATCTTTAAGTATTATATAATTGGATTGATTTTATTTGTAGACCATAGAAGACATAAACTCATCTAATTAAGTGGCTAAGGCCAAGACGACAACTACACGAAAGCTCCAAACATAAGCAAAAGTAGGCTTTCTTTACTCTGAGAAAGCAAATAGTCTTCTTCCCTAGACAACAACCGACTTAGAATAATCTCTGCTAAGATCCTGAAAAGCTGTGTAATCACCTCAACATGGTACCAAACGCATTTGCTACCACAAGAAGCTATTGGACTCCAAACTATACCTCTACTTCTTCAGTCCTACAAACAGCAACAAAGGCTAGTTAAATACAATTCTTCTGGTAGATTCTGAATTAAAATATACACCATGACAAAAAATAATTTTGATGTTATCAAAATTATCTCTCAGTGACTTTATTTAACTGACACTATTTTGTGGAATAATCATCCTTATTAATCAGAAAATATGAATAGGTTAAATGTTATAGAAACATTACTTTTAATTTTATAATTTAAAAAAACATTTAATTGTAATTTTTGAACTGCTTGCTACATCCTACAGAGATGAAAACCTCAGTGAGCAATGTTTCGGTAAGAAAAAGTTATACATCATTAATTTTATATACTGCAATTAAAATGTTATAAAAATGCACAGCCACAATGATGTCTAATAAGAAAAAAGCAGAATTACCTTTGCTGACAAATAGTGCTTGTAGTAGTACAGCTGAAACAGCAGAAATGCAGAGCTTGTCAGTGTCAAAAGGGCCAAGAGCACGTTCTTATTGATTCTACTCATTGGTCTGTAGTGTTCTCTCGGATGTTTTTTAACAGTAACCCAGTTGTTTTCATCTTCTTCATTAATCGAGAAGATAATCTTGTTTTCTATGATCAAAAATACTTCTGCAAAGAAAAAAAGGCCAATTTTTCAAGAAAAAAAGTTAAGGAAGAAAATTAACTTCAATAATCATTGATATAGCACACATACATAAAAGTTATTTAGCCAAGCATGGTAGTACATGGCTATAATACAAGCATTTGGTAGGCTGAGGCAGGGAAATAGCAAGTATAAAAGGCCAGCCTGCGTTACACAGTGAGGTCTAGACCAGCTTGAGCTACATAGAAAGACCCTTTCTCAAACACACACAAAAAGCAAAACTGGAAAAGAAAAAGGGTAAGAAAAGGTTATCTGCAGTTCTACAGGACACTTTGACCAAGAGGGGATGCAGGGGAGGGGCTTCTCCAATGTTTCTGACTCAACAGACCTGGCCTGGGACCTTTGGATCTCAAAATGCATGTCTGACAAATTCAAAGGCGATACTACTTCTGATCATATTGAGAACTACTTCCACAAGAAAAAAGTGAAACAGTTTTTAGCCAGGGAGCATAGTATCTAGCTGTTCCTTTTGTGAAGGGTGTGTGTGTGTGTGTGTGTGTGTGTGTGTGTGTGTGTGTGTGTGTGTGTGTGTGTGTATGCATGCACACACGCAAAATAGAGGATGTTCATAAATGGCCTTGGTATTTGCAAAGGTAAAGAATACTTTGGTAAACATTGTGGGTATCCTGGGTATCTCCTCCAATTATTTCTTTACAGTAAGAAATTTACTTCCTACCTCCTCTCCAATACATGATTTCAGTTAAATATTTTTAAATGTCCTCTAGTGTTTTGGTTTATTTCTTCAAGAATACTAATACCTCTTTTACTCAATAATCAAAGTTTTCTGTCTTATGTTTTCTGGTTATAACTAGAAATTGGCAAACTATGCTGCCTTCTGTCTTCTTTCCTTTTCCTATGTATTTCTACTTAGTTATTTTATTCTGTCCCATAACTGTTATTTTACTCTTATTTTCGGTGTCCCACAGTAATCCTAAACACGCTCTGCCCACTCAGCTTCTCTGCAGCTTATGAAAAAGAACATAAAGGTACTGCTTACTCTCAGGTTTGCACCTGCTTAAAACCAGATGTCAGTGGAGTTCAGCTGTGAGGTCACACTTCAGTTCCCTCAATAAGTTACAGGATTTGTATCATTGCCCTGTAATGCTAAGTATTCTCTTGCTGACATTCAACTCCACAGCTCCCTTACAGGGAATCTGGTCTGTTTCAATGAGGTACACAAAGGAAGCACACATATTTCCTACCTTGTTGTCCTAGACTATGTAATGATAGTGATGGCTATATGTTCATTTCCTTTGGTCTTTGTATGTTCTTTCAACTTATATTTATTTGTAGAAAACTTTTTGATAAGTTGTTTGTATACTTTCAACATTGGATTCTCTGATTTCCAGAATTACAGGAAGTGTATCTCCTTTCACTCCTATTTCAGTTTGTTCAACTTCCAAAGCCTGTCATCAAGCTAACTCGCTGAAGCTTCACTGTTGACTTTCCATTTCAACATGGTTTTTTCTCCTTGTGTGTCTTTCCTTCTGAGCTCTGCCAGACTGCTCTCTTATAATTAACTCCTAGCTCTTGAGCCAATGAACACTGCTTTTATTTTTCACAGTCCAAGGCTTTTATCTAGGACTGGCAAGCAAGCTATCACTGAGATACAATCAACACTGTCATTTTAAAGGTTTTTAAAAATGATTTTAAATATAAGTAGATGTGTGGGTATGTTCACATGTGTGCAGGCAAAGGACAGAGGTGTCTAATCCCCGCGAAGCTGGAGTGACAGGTGGTTATTGTGAGTCACTTAACATAGGAACTAGGAAGCAAACTCAGGTCCCTGGAAAGAGCAGAATATGTCTTAACCATTGAGCCTAATGCCTTTCATTTTAAAGGTGCAACGGTTACACCTTAGGCCTGTATAATTTCACCGTGGGTTTTCACAGTATTTCTTCTTCTCCTCCTCTTCTTCTTGTATCATTTCCTTTTAATTACTTACATTTGCATGGCCTGAACACCTCAAGATCAGTTATTCATAGGAATACTGGGTTAGGAGGGGCAGCATTATATTCTAGACTAAATGGAAGTTTATGCATGTGTGTATGTGAGGACAATGGAGAATACACACTAGATTTTAGGAAAAGTTAATACACTACTCCTTCAAGATGTCAGAAACAGGCACCAAAAGTCTCTGGCAATCTCTCCCTCTGTTTGCTGCTGTAAGGATAGTGCATTTATGTAGACCTTATTTGCTTTTCTTCTTTCTAGTTCATGCTGACAAACATCCATGGATGCTCCTACACCTTCCTGACCTACTGTGAACACAAGAACCATGTCTCTGTCCTGTTGGTTCTGAGATCTTCATCTTCCTTACAGATGCCAACCATTGTTCAAATATTTCAGTTTGGGGTTACAGCAATATTTGTCCCAGGGAAGCGATATTAACACCTGTCTCCCACTTTCCATGCTATTTCAGGGTATTTTCAGTCAGAATAGAGCACAAATATTTTTACTCTGCCATTTTAAAGTTCTAAGTTTTGTTGTGGAGCTTTCAAACAATCCAAATGAACTTACAGAGCTGAAGCCACTTAAAACAAGCACTGTGAGAAATCACAGAAGAGCAACTACTCAAGAGAAGTACTACAGAGAGGAGAGTTACCTGCCCATCTGCAGATAGTGCATCAAGGTAATGGGATAAATCATGACTTTCTCTACTAAACTGTAAAAACAGCAACATCCATCAGCACTGATGGTAGTCCTAGTGTCTTCTGTCAGCTAAAACTTGTTACAATGGTTTCATCAGGGCAGGTCATGGATAACAAGGTTATTTCTCACTCTCTAGACTTAGCTATTCCTCATACACGTATTAAATAGCACACCTGTGTAATGCACACTGCTTACTGGTGAAATTTTAGCTGGCATTCAGACTGTACCATTGTTAAGCCTCTCTAAGCTCAGATATTCTAAAGTCCAAATTAATATACTTTTGCTTTTTGGGATCTCTACTTTAGAACTAATACAAAACTAATTAGTTAATAATATAGGAACCACTTAAATTAAGCAATAGGACAGTTTTAAAAAGAGGTATTTCAGGACATCACAAGCGTGGCATCTTCAATGGCACAGGTCCTAAATCAAGACAATATTGGTGCACATAGTTCTTTTTTTGTGACATTTCAGCCATCATTGTAAAAACAGTAAGGATTGATGGGAGATGCCATTCTGTATTTATGTTTCTCATACTGGTTAATGAATAAAGCACTGTTGGCCAATAGGAGAGGAAGATAGGAGGGACTAGGAGACAAGGAGAAAAGAAGAAGTAGTAAGGAGATGGAGAAAGCAGAACCGCCAGCCGCCTCTCCCTGGTAAGACCACGTGGTAATACATAAACATGGGTTAATACTTAAGACAGAGCTAGCTGATAAGAAACTAGTAACTGCCCAACAGCATTATATCAAATACAGAGTCTCTGTGTGTTAACTGGGGCTGACGCGGCGGCAGGGCAAGACCAGCAGTGGGAGGAAAACCTACTCCTTACAAAGAATAAATGAATTTCTTACTTTATACATATGTAAAGAAAATATTGTATGATGTGCAATGGGAAATATTACAGAGCTAATAAAATGAGCAGAGAAAAGGGCAAATATCTGCTGAAAAAATAATATGGAGACTCTCACAGAGGAGGCCTAAGCAGTCCAAGTACCCTGAAGTTCTAATATAAATAAGAGGCTGGTTTAACTATGATATATCACAGAGTAAAATTATTCTTAAATGACATGGGAACAGGACAAAGCTAGTACATGAACAGAGATCCAGCAATGGAGAAGGACACAGTGCAGAAGTGGTTCTGGGCACCAGAGCTATTGGCCCTCTTGTCTCTGGCCCTAATCAGCTAGAGCCTAGACTCATCTTTAGGGAATAGTGCTGGGAGCCTTTAAAGTAGCATTTAATATTCCAGGTATCAACTCCAGAACATTTGTTATTACAAAAGTGGGTACTTTGTATTCTCAAATAGGCCCCAGAGAAAGGAATGCCTTCTCACCGGGCCTTAGCAGTAAGAGCTGCAGCCTATAGATCTCACACTACATAGCCTTAGTTTTTCCCTTTGATGTATCCTTGAGAAGTCCCCTTTAATCGGTTAAGAGTACATTATACAAATCACATCCCACCTGAGACTTAAGCTTTGCAAGTCACATCTAGGGGGCAGATATGAGGCACCTGCTCTTCTCAAGATTTTATCTACCTTCCTGGCTCTAAGAGATATGCATGCCCTACCGTCAGAGAGGTGTTAAATGTACTTTGGATATAAAAACTAGAAACCTTGTGGGATGGGGGAACCTCCAGAGAATTTTGAGGAGGAACTTTTAGAGACTTTTTAGAAGGAACCTTTATAGATTTTAAGAAGGAACTTGTAGAGAACTTTTAGAAAGAACTTTGAGAATTTTTAGAAAGAATTCTAGGAGAATTTTTAAGGAGAACTTTTGGGAAGAACATTTCTTGAATAAAGAGGTATGAGACGAATGTTATGTGTATGAACTCATTCATTGGCCCTCAGACCTTTTTACCCTGGCCCACCTGTTGTAAGTCTCTTGCCTGAACGCGCAATAGAGCACAATGCACATTCTTTTAGCTTTCATTTCATCTTTTATTATCAATTTTACTACACAACACTACATGAGCAAGTTTGAAAAAAAGTGGTAAGAGCCAAACACTTGTGATGGAATGTGTACAAAGTAAAGTCAAGATTGTTTTCACATTCTGTAGCCAGGAGCATTACATAGTTTGCAGTATCACTTCTGACATTCAAATATGTGCCAATTGGGGCTGGGGAGATGGCTTAGCTGTTAAGAGCAGTGGCTGTTCTTCTAGAGAATCCATGTTTAATTCCCAACACCTACATGACAGCTCACAACTGTCTATAACTCCACATCCAGGGGATCTGACATCCTCATACAGACA